GAGAGAGAGAGAGGGGGGGGGCGGAACAAGGGCGAGGAGGGCGAAGGGAGAAAAGCGAAGGAGGAAAAACCGCGCGCATCGCACGAGGCATAAAGGTCTTTTACGAGCGTTAAAAATCGCCGTGGCACGGCGGCGTCCCGGCGCCGTTTCTTTATTTCCATCGCAGTGTAATCCCCGTCGTCCCTTTACCGTTATGCCTCTCGCCATGGTCGTAAACAAGCGGATCCTTCGCCGTTTTAATTTCTTCTTCGGCTTCACCGGGGCCAAAATCGCCTTCTCTTCTCCCGCTTACGATCTGCCCTCTCGCGCGTCCGTCTCATCTTCGTCATCATTATTGTCATCCTCCATCGTGTTCCATCGGGTACGTAACGTTTATGGCATTTACACGCTCGTTAACGAATTCACGTTTCGCCAGATACGTTCCTTCGGTAGGCGATTATCTTCCCTCCATCGTCGCGGTGAGATTACGTCGCTTGAAAACGCGTGTATTTCGCAAATATCGCTTTAGGGATTTCGATTGTGCGAAGGTTACGGGAATGAGTGAATTTGTGCAGCGTTCAATTTTTTGCCTCACAGGATCCGTATTTTTGGACACGGATCCTGTGAGGCAAAAAATTGAACGCTGCACAAATTTGGAGATCTTCGATTTATCAGCTAGGCAATTATACACGAGACAAGGTCGTCAGATTTGTCTGCGAATCTCTACGAATTGATTATATAACTTTTCGACACCTCGTCTATTTCGACAAGGTTCGAATGCGAGATGAAAGTGTAAAAAAATGTATATTTCTATGAGTTGATTGCACAACCTTTTAGCAGATATTCTATTTCAAGGTTTCAATATGATGATGTAAAGGATATATATTTTTTCCCCTTGTTGAAACGAACGAATAATGGATATATTTTTCTCTTAACGTTCATTTTAATAGAATATTTTGAAAAAATTATTCATCACGATTGTATGTTACATTTTATTAATGTTGGACCGATATTTTCTTGTCGCAGATGTGAGCTACTGAAGGTGGGATCCTCAGGAACCGTGAGGTCCTCGCAATGGAGGCAGGACCAAAGCAACAGCAGCCGCCGCAACAGCAACAGCCGCAGCAACAACAGTCGCCTCAGCAGCAACAGCAACAGCAACAGCAGCAGCAAAACTCATCCGGCAGTGCGACTCAGACTCAGAACCAAGTAACTATCGGTCCTCAGGGTGGCCTAACGCAGGGTCAAGGTCAGCAGAATGCGGAGGACGCGCTCGCGGCGGCGGAGAACACCCCCGTTAGTGAGGGTGTTCTTCTCGCTCGGATCCACGTGCCCGAGCTTTACGTCAGCAAGTGTCTGCAGTTCCCGAAGGATCAGCTAGTCTGGGACGTGAAGCAGCAATGCCTGGCGTCCTTGCCCAAGGTATGAATGACGTTTCGATGTTGAGTAATGAAGGAGTTCTCGTATACATACAATCCTGGATATCCCGAGGGAAACCTTGAAAACAGCCTGCGGAGTTCTGGAGTTGCATCGATATTTCTTAACGACGAGATCGAACGATTCACTCTCCCGGATTAAAATTTATCTCCCGGCTGCTCGATAGCGCGAGACAGACAAACGAACGAACGGACGGACGGACGGACGGATGGATGGACAGGCAGGCAGGCAGGTTGCCCGGTGGAAGATGAAGGGGAGAAATTGAAAACGGAACGCATTATTCTCTTTCGCGGCAATAAATCCCGCGCGCGTACCTCACCCGCGTGTTATTTCTGGCCGGACGATCCTTACGTCGGAAATTTATGAAGCCCGTGGCGGATTCTCTCTCGTTTTGCCGTCTCCATCGGACGTGCGCGAGAGAGCGCGAGCGCGCTCGCCCGTTTACTTGCCTGCGTCGAGTCCTTCGCACGATAATTACACGTATTTTGTCGAGAAATTCCCCCGCGATCGAAAGCGCCGGGTAATATAATTCGTAGCCCCGATTTTTAGCGCGAGTTGGTGCGCGTGAGAGACGAATGACGGAGAGAAGCGGAACGGTGTTGAGCCTCTCTTATCCTCTCATTCTTTCCCCGTGCGCGTACGTGTAGTGCCGTGCCGGCTGCGTTTCGTTCAGAAATTCACCCGCGATCTTTCCCGCCCCCCCCCCTCTCTCTCTCTCTCTCGTACGTGACGTAGTATAATATATTAC